TATAAGTAATTTTCCAATTTCACAGCCAATAATTGCATAAAAAACATTGTTCGTATAAAAATTAGGGTCTGCAAAGATTATTCTTTATTGGCTTCATCCAATGCATATGTTCTTTTTTTATTAAAGAGTTGATCAGTGGTGTGGTACCAGGAGAATTTGTCCTATAAATCCCATCTTCCGATTTAATCTAGATTTGTACATTTGTACAACAATAAACAGACCAAAACGAATAATCTGTTCGCTTTGTAAGGTACCATAAGGATGTACTACTTTTGTACATTCCTTATGGTATATTTCGGAGAATTTTTCTCTCAAACACTTCAAGAACTGCCTCATCTTCTTGCGCAAGTACCCATGCTTCAGATCCATATATCAGCACAGGTAGTATCAGCGTCTTGTAGATTTTGAGTTTGGTCTGGCGGGACGTGGCCATGTTTCTAAACTGCTTACTTAGACCATAGTAGCATCTGTTGGCCAACACTTTTCTTCTACAAATTTCAAAACTGGTATCATTAGGTTTATCTACAACGATACCACGGAATATAAAATCTTTGACTACCTCGAAGCTGTAGTTCTCACCTTCCACAATTGGTCCGTGTCTACTGGACGTCTAGCCAGTTGATACCATCAACTTGGTCTTTTCGCCACTTACTGCTAGGTCCACTTTGGCAGACTCCTTCTCAATTTGTTCAAAGGTGGCTGCTACCTCTCGCAATCTTCGACCCATTATATCGATGTCATCGGCGTAGGCGAGTAACATACTCTGTTTGGTGCACAGACAGGGCTGCCATATTTGCCGATTTATCGGCATTTTGACGATTTTTCACTCTAAAAATGGAAAATGCCGATTTTCCGATTTTTGACTCAGAATTGCCGATATTTCAACAATCGACAAAAATTGTCTAACTTTTTAATTTAATACGGCGTTACCATACAAACATATAAAATTGGCAGCTTTAAATCATTATAAATATCGGCGACTCGCCGCAGCCGTTTTCAATGGCTTAGATATCTGCATTTTTTGTCAGCATTGTACTCTGTCTAGTTTACATTTTACATGGAATAAGGCAAAATTAAAAATAAACGAATAAAAAGTGCGCACACGAAAGAAAGATCTCACTAGTGTACATAATAATTACTATATTAAAAAAAATCTACATTTTTTGTAGAAAAATGAATCTTTTTTTATACAGAATTGAATTTTTTAAATGTAATAAACAATATTGATTTGTTATAAACCAAAAAATATGAATTTATTTATAAATTATATGCTGCCGATTTTTTGCCGATTTTTAAAAATACAAATGCCGATTATCCCGATTTTTTTCTGAAAAATTGACGATTTTTCATGAAATTTAACTGGCAGCACTGTGCACAGAGTGTCATTTATGTTCACCTTTTCGTCTTGTATGACCTCTTCCAGCAGGATGTTAAAACGATCACACGAAAAACTGTCACCTTTTCTGAATCCTCTTTAGATATTGAAGGGCTACGATAGGGCCTTTCCGACTTTAACTGCTGACCTTGTGCAAGTTAAAATAATCCCGAACACAGACACGATTTTGAACACCTCTGAACGGATAGGACAGTCATATGTAGCTTTTTAGCCGACGAATAGGTGGAATGTGTCGATGTGTTTTTTGTGGGTCTTTTCCAGGATTTTCCCGCAGAGTCAATGAAGGATTTGCCAGGTCTGAAGCCGCATTGGTCCAAAAATGTCATTGACCGGTGGCTTCAGTCCTTCATACAGCACTCTGACCACCAGTATTGAATAGTTCGGCTGGTAACCCTGGTGCTTTATTACTCTTCAGCGGATTAATTGATATTCTAACCTCATCTTGGCTAGGTGGTATACACTCTATACCGTCATTTTTTATTATTTCTGGAGAATCTTCCTCACCGCCACTATTTGATACCAGAAGCTTTTCAAAATGATCCTTCCAGATCCCCAACACATCTGTCTGTGTCTGTCACCAGGATTCCTTCTTCATATTTGCTCGTTGGTAAAATTTCCGGACTTCATTCTGACTTCTCTACATCTCGATTTGCTCACGCTCACGTTTTTCTTGTTCTTTCTTCTTTTTTCTGAAAATAAAATTCTCATCTCCCCTATTTTCCCGATATTTCCCCATCGCATTACGTGCTGCTACTGTCTGCAGGGAACCAGATTACCTGGAAGGTATCTGGTTTCCTGCATTCTTCAATAGCTGAAAAAAATTTTGATTACCGTATGACAATAATGCTTCGAATTGTGATCAAAATCATAATTCTGTCTAGAGTCAGTTTTAACTTATGAATGTGTAAATCAAAATCCATACCCAAAATATTCCTTAAAGTAATCCAATCCTTAAACCAGTGGGCGGAGCAGTATAGTCGGACGGGGCCGACCAAACGATACCCTACACAACTACCACGGAACTCAAATTTTCTGCATATGTTTATTCCGAGCCAGGGCAATATTTCGTGATATTTGCACCCTCTTGCCCGATTAGAGGTAAACAGCACCTCTTCCTTAAACTGACATATTTTCCGAATATTACGAGTATTCAGTACAGCTATTGTCCAGATTCCCTTCAACCCACGGTGAAGGTGTTGTGATGTTCGGCTTAAATTTGTGGTGTTGTGATGTTCGGCTTAAATTTGTGGTCTATAAATCGACTCGAAAATAACACAAAAAATAAGTTTTCGGTCCACTTCACCAAAATTTTTTATCTGATCATCACTGAAAATTATAGGCGTTGTCCTTGACCATAACTGGAACCTCATGGAACATTTCAAAGCGATCAGCGCTATAGTTCCGCTCTCTAGAGTGATTATGGGTTATTAAATAATATACGAATACCTGCAAATATTTAGGTGTAACTCCCACATCCGAGCACATGCAACAATATAATTGGTATTACTTAAAGGTCAACCACTCCTCTTGGATATAATATCAACATCTCGGGTCTATGTCCTTCAGGGGTAAATATATACACTATAGAGTACAAATTTTGTAATTTTTCACACAAAAGTCAGGGTCCACTTAAACCGATAAATATTAACCGATCTTTATCAAAACAGGCATGCTTATTTTTTGGCCCGATCCCCTTCTCCATGCAAAATTTCACGATGTTCAGACCATTATTGCGGCCTCTGGAGCGACCACAAAAACCGATAAAAATTTAGTATTTGGTCCATTTCATCCCCTTATATTAACCACCCTACATGCAAAATTTCGTGAAGATTGGTCCATAAATGTGGCCTGTATCGTGTTTACAAATTATAATGGACAGACGGACGGACGGACACACATGTCTAGATTGACTCAGCTAGTCGAGATATGACGATCGGTATACTTAAAGGTGGGTCTAGGTCCAATATTTCGCGGCGTTACAAACTTTTGGGGCTGCACAAAGCTATAATACCCTGACAACATAGTTGAGTAGGGTATAAAAACCTTGGATTTGATTTACCGTTTTCTATGGATGCCTGAAAGCCAGGGATATTCTCTACAATTCGACAAACATTGATTTAGCATTTCTCTGAGAAGAAAAATTTACAGCGCATATATATATGAGACCTGGCTTATTTCAGGTATTTTTTACACAAGATTTGAGGAATTTAAGTATACACCCATTAGTACTAAAGTGTCAAAATGTTTGAAATTTGTACAATCTCATGAGAATCAAATTGAATATCCGATTTTATTCGAACTTAGCACAAAATAATATTTTGATCAAATCCGGATCACATCAGGAAATGCAGTCTATAAATGCACCCTTATGGAACATCCACCAAAAGTTTAAAATTTGTAAGCCTAGATCGATCCCGAAATCAAGCCCTAAGAATCCATTTTCTCTGGTACCTCCACTACAAATATGTTGTCAGCGTATTATAGCTTTGTGTGGCCCCAAGATTTTGTAACCCCGCAAAATATTGGTCCTAGCACCTTTTGATATTCCGATCGTCATATCTTGACTTGCTGACTCGATCTAGACATGTGTGTCCGCCCGTCTGTCCATTATAATTTGTAAACACGATAAAGGCCACCAGGAATTTTTGTATATAAGAAAGGTTCTGGCTAAAGAATATCCCTATTGTTTTTGGTAATGATCGGTTAATATTTAGGGGATGGAATTGATCAAATACTTTATTTTTGTCTATTTTTCTGGTCGCTCTGGAGGCCACAATTATGACCTGAACATAAAAAATTGAATGGAGAAGAGGATCAGGCCAAAGAAGAACCTTGTTGGTTTTTATAAAGATCGGTCAATATTTATGGAACCAGACTTTTGTGTGAAAGATGACAAAAATTATATTCTGAATTCGTATGTATGGTTGCGAAAAGTACTAAATCGTACAAAATTTAATACAATTTGGATTGGACGAATATATCTGAAAGCCTGAAATTTGGAATTAAGATCACTGTTGATGATTGAGCTATAACGAAAGGTTTTGCAGTTCGCATTTGTGTGTACTAAATGTACTAAACGGCACTAGATTTTTTACAAATTGGATTTGGGTGAATCGAGAGATCTGAAAACCTAGAATTTGGAATAGTTGTTGCTGTTGTAGTGTAGAATTGAGATATGGAAGTATAGTACTTATGTGTACTAAATAGTACTATATTTGGTACAACTTGATTTTGTGTGAACGAATAGAGCTGTACTCCAGAATTTTGGAATTAAAATTACTGTTGGAGTGTCCGATTGAGGTAGTTTAGAAAATTCGTACTTATAGAAAATTTGGTACTTATATTTTTAGAGTATCCCTTGTAATATTAGAGTATCCCTTGTAACATTTTTATGGCATCATAATAATAGTGTACTGATTATGTCCAATATATATTTGTTTATTTTTACAATTAAATTTATTTTGTTGGCATATATCTTCCAAAATTATTTTTCAAAAATAATAGCACAAATCCACTTAATTTTATAAAATAGCATTCATATGAAATTATATATTATATAAATATTTTATATAAATATGTATGTGTGTAAATAAAAACCACTTACCGGCTGGTCATTGATGAACCATTGTAAATGTGATGCTGGATGTGATTTTCCCGATGAGCAATTTAAATTTAATATTTCACCAATTTGATATTGAAATTGTTGGCCTTTTATGTGCGGTCCATCACGTGGCAAATCTATATTTTCGGAGAAAAACGCGGGGAGAAAACAAGGAAAACGTAGCACATTAATTGAAAGTTGTTTTTGGTTTTTCAATTTCATCTGCCTAATTTAACATTTACAAATTGACTTAATTTTGTGCCATTATAAAACAGTTTTCCATTTTGATTTCAATTTTATTCACAAATAGATTTCCTCTTCTCTATTGATGATATAACTAATGTTATACAATAGACGTTGTGCTGTCAATGATGATGATGTGTTTGCTGTCACCCCCTCTCTTTCTCTCGCTCTATCTGAGGGAACTGAATTGAGGTCTGATTTCGTGGAAATAAAAAGGGAGTAAAAACGTGACTTGAATTTGAATTGGATATTTGTTTAGCTTTTTAAAATGGAAATCCAAAAAAGATTACTTGTAGAAATTGCCCCCATAATTTATATTGTGTGGTAAAAAATAACGATGTTATAGAAGAATTGTCTTTGTGGCAGGATATTACAAAGGTGTGAGGGCAAAAAGTAGAGCATAGTTTTGTATTCTTGGAATTTGTGTTTGTTTTCGTTCTGGGAAAATCTTTGCCCTTGAACTCTTTTTTCGAAAAGGTTTTAAGTTATTTAAAAACATATTTATGTGCTCTTTGTGACTTGAAAGATATTTGATACGTGCGGCACATTATTACAGGTTGTTTCGTATATCCATTAGTGTGAGGGGAATATCTGTTTTATTATACCCTCCACAATAAGGTGCAGTAGCTATTAAATGAGTCATTTCACATAACCAGGAAATATTCGTTGAAAACTTCTTGTGAAATCGGTTCAGATTTGCATAGTGAAATTTCCTTGTGAGTATGGGAGCCCCTGACGAGTATAGTAATTAAATTATAGCACGATGATTTTTTTTCGCCACACTGTGGTACAGGGTATTATGTCTTTGTGCATATGTTTGTAACAGGTAAAAGGAAACGAGATAGACCCATAATTCCATTTGAGAAT